ATAAAAAAGTTCGCTACAAATTTGTATTATGTTTGGTTTTAAATTAATTATTAAATTGCAATTATCCATCTCCAGAGTTATCTAATCTAATTACTATGCAGGTCCTGGAAAGTATGTAAGTCTTTTGGATACCTCCCCCTCCAACGTACATTTGAATTTAATGCTGCTATCTTTACTCTCTTTGTGTTGGCCGCAGCAATTATTTATAACCAAATTCAGCATGAGCCAAATGAAATATTGGATAACAATTAATTGGTATTAAAGAAGCGCTTTTATCAGCCTTAATTGCTTAGAGACAAAGATAATAATATTTCTTGACATTGCTCATTCGGAGGGCTCAATAACATAACTCAGCAAAGATCTTTTTGAATAACTCGTGGGCATCAACATAAACAATTGGCAACAATTGGATCACAATTAAATCCATTATGTTCACACACATTGACTAATAACTAATTTATGAGCAATAGAAATACGCCAACATTTTGCTTTCAAGTCATTGGACTAATGGAAGTCCTTAATCGATGTAATTATTATAAGAACTGCGTGACCATTAATAGTATAGTTTTAACAAAATGTATCAAATTTGTACATGATTAATTAAATGCCACAAATTCTGTAATCAATTCAATTAAACACTTATTTTGTTCGTTTGGGACAACATTTATTGAAATACTTAACTGCGGAATAACATATGTTGTATGTATATATGTATGTATATATAAACTGTATGCTGCTGATATGTAAGGTTTTCCAAGGAGTAGATGTACTCGCCTGAAGATCTTAGCCAAAGGATAAAGGATAAGAAAACCATTGCGTTGGATTGGAAGCCATCGCTGATATGTATCGATTTACGGAACTTAAATGTCTATTAAAATACAAATACAAAGTTCGTAATATTTAGCTGAAGTTCGGCTAATTATGCATCTATATGTATATGTATATGTATGTAGTTGGATATGTACTTATATGTATGTGCCCAAGAATTCCATAATATCAAGCTAGATTATATGAAAAATGTTATTTTGTATATGCTTGACAGGCTCATGGCCTTAGCTATTACTTATCACAGTTGACAAAGTGCGTGGAGAGAGATGGAACTCATAGAAATTCCAATTTCTGAAAAATTATATATATATTCATCAATTTATAGGAAGACCTTAAAATAAAGAATATTCTTAGGAAAATCCTTAAGCAATAATAAACAATTGTAGTTTTGTTCAGTCCATCGTCCATTAAGATCTTGCTTATTAAAAATACAACTCAATATAATAATTAATTAGTTATTGAATGGATAACCAAATAATACTGGATTTATTTGCTAAGCTAAAGCAAAAAATGCAGCAAAGTGAGTTATGTTTTCAATAAATTGCCAAATTAAGCACATACTGATATTAATTATTGCAAATCTTTTTTTTTTGCTCATTCATAACAAATTTGAAACGCATTGGGGGAATACATATAAATAAATAATATACTACTTAAACCAACTTAAAACAACATATATACTTACATATACTTAAAACAACATATTAGTTTCAGCACGCATCCTAGCAACAGCCACAAAAGAAGAAAAAAACTGGATGCAACTCAAGCGGTTCAGCTGGCGGTTAGGAGTCGATTATTGTTTTTTTGTGTGTGGTTTCCCACTCAGTGCGAGCACTCGATGGCGAGTGCACGAGTGCGAGTACGAGTGCGGTACGAGTACACGAGCGAGCGAGTGAGTGAATAGTGTGAATGCGTTATATTCGTAGCGGTTTTGTGAATTTTTCAACAGGCGCTCAGCGCCGAGCAGCAAGCGCAAACTGCGCCTTTTCATTCGCCCAGCAATTGTGAATGCCCAGCCAATGCTTGCTTTAGCAGTGCGAGCGAGACAACTATATGCTGCACATATATATATATATGGGCTGCTCATGCTGATGTTTGTTTATTGAGTTCTCGCTGCTGTTGGGCTCGGTGGCGATGGCGATGGCGATGTTGGCCGCCATTGCTGAGCGCCTGCTAACTGTTTTAGTTAAAGAGCAATCCATTTTGTTTTGCGAAAAGGAAAAGGAGTAGACAAAACTCGCGCAGTTGGTGCTGCTGCTGCTTCTTCTTTTCAAGCAAGCTGTCGGCGAGTGAGCAAAAACAAGAAGAAGAAGAAGAACATTGCAGACGCAAAGGTTGTTTTTGTTGTTGTTTTTGTTGCTAATTAGAGTTATCTGTGATGAGCTAGTTTAAGTGACTAAATTAGTTTAAATGCACACGTTAAACATTAATATACCATAATAAGCTTTGCTATTTAGCTGCCTGTGAAAAACGCAATTATTCACTTTCAAAATCGGCACGTCTCTTAAGCTTTAAGCGCATCGAAATTTAGACTTTGCCAAAGTTTTAAAAGCTAAAACAACAAAATGTCGATTTTGCTGTTGTTGCTTTTGCTGTTGCTGTTGTTAATGCTAAAGCTTATATAAATAAAATACATAAATTATATTAAATACTTAAATAAAAGCATTTTAAAAATATATAATTTCAATCATAATTTAAAGTGCGCAAATTTTGTAGAGCGGCTTTTTCATTTTTATATTTTTGAAGCTCGCTTAAAAGAACTTTTTGCTGCTCAGCGACTCTGTAAATAAGCTCGGGTTTTGAGGCCGGGATTGTTTGTTGTTGTTGTGGCATATATGCACACACACACACAGCCACACACACACACAAATTCATACGCAAATAAGGCCCACGTTTTGGCTTTCTGATGAAACTTGCAATCTGCCAAGCACAGAAAAGCATTATTAGTGCTTTCAACACAACCTGCACTGTGTGTGTACCTGTGTGTGTGTGTGTTTAAGTAGGTTGACGTGCTTTTTATTTAACAGAGTAAAGTATCTACGAAACAAAAACACATATATCAAATTAATAAGTCAACGAAACAAATCACAAGCAATAATAATTTTGAGCGCCCTAATTTGGTATTATGAATAAATATGCGTGCACATCGAATATTACTTTTCTTGTAAATAATAATATTTAATATTAAATTATAAACATCATTAAACTTCAGTTTTAAATCTTAACCCACTTTTTGATTGAGGAGATCAAATTTTAAATTGTGCACACAATGAAGGAAAATTAGAAATACAAATAAACAAAAACAAAACCTGCTTAATAAAATAAAGCAAACAAATTTTTGAATGTATAACAAATAAATATGCTATTATTATATATAATTATTACTTATCAGAAATTAATTTTAAATGCTTTATCTACTTTCATATTTTTAATTTAATAATTGAATAAAATAAATAAATCATGAGACAAATGTTAAGCACAATGTTTAAGATTTGTGCAAATTTTAATTTCAAACACATGAAACTGAATGAAATAAAGCAAACAAATATTTGAATATATTTCACAATTAAAGATATACATATACATATATATATATTTAATATTATTAAGTTATCAATCAAAGATCGATTTTAAGCTAGTGGATCGCAGCCATTTCAACTATTCATTTTTTTTTTGCACAATTATTTGGCCCTTTTTCCATGTTGAGCAAGCAAAGCAAAAAGCGTTTTTGAATAAAGTTCTTCTCTGAAAATCATAAACCTGAAAACTTTTACTCACACACACAGATGCCAAAAAAATATATATGCAAGCCTCGGGCAGCTTACGAAAGAAGCTTAAGTCAAGAACTTAAAATATTTAGCTAAAACTTTTTTTGAACGCTATCGCGCGCCAGAGAGAGCGAGAAAGAGAGAAAGAACGCTTCGAATAATGGGAAGGGTGTCGGCGGTGGTTGATGGAGGGGATGCGGGGGTGGAAGCACTGCAAGAGCATTCAAAGAAGAATCGGCACAAGTTTTGTGACACAGGCAATAAAAGCACTCGGCAGCAGCGATGAACTTGGCAGATTTAACTTTTTTCAAGTTTCGGAAAACCAAAGTTGCGCTGCCAGCAGCGCAGTCGCCGACGCCGTCGCCGTCACAATGCGCAACTTTGGCAAGTTAAATGTTGTTGTTTTTGTATTTTGGAAGCTACAGATTTTGAAAGTTCTTGTACTGGGAGCTAAAAATCGACAAAGGCTTTAGCAGGGCGATATCTGAGGTGTGTCGGTGTGTGTGTGTGTTTTAAAACCTATATATGTATGTGTACATATACAGCTTGTGGGCAACGGAGACGCAGCGGGCAGCTGCAAGCGATCCGCTATTCGAGCCGGCGTAAGCGTTTTTTATTATATTTCTTTTTCACTTGTTTTTGGCGAGAGCTTAAACAGCTTTTGCTTTTTATTATAATTTGTGTTTTATAAGAATGCGCCCAGAAATTCCGTTGTTTTTTAAAAGTTTCTTGTGTGTGTAAAAATCAAAAATGAACGGCAAAATTCGGGGTTCTCGCAACGACTTCGTTGTGTCTACAAACTCTTAATTTTTTTTTCTTTCTTTCGACTTTTTTTTTCTTTTGGTTTTCGACTTGGTTTGCGCGCACACACGACGACGACGAAAATTGCACAACTCATTCGGTGTAGAATTATTGTAATCCCCACCAGGCGTCCAAAATCGGCCAGCAGCTGCTGCTTCGGAGTGCTTTTGCAGCAGCGCAACGCTGTTGTGTGCTGGGCGCGCGTGCAAGCGAGACAACCATAGTGGCTAGTGTTTTGGCGCGTGCATATGGCTCTCTCGCTCTCGGCCGCAGTCACAATCGTTGTGAGTGCAGAAAACGCGTTTCGCTGCCAGCTTTTGCTGGGCGCCTGTTGAAAAATTCACAAAAAGCCAAAATAGCGCGAACGAAACGTACAAAATCGAAAATCGGACGTTCACAACGTCCCTCGGTGGTCGTTCACAGTGGGCGCCACATTTGAATCGCGACGCGTCAACGGTCACAATATTTTTGAATGCCACTTTGGCTGCGCGCATTTTTGAATATTGCAGCGAGATGGCAGCACTCACGCTGGCAACTGCATTCGGTAAAAAAAATAAAACATCTGTGCACTATTTCTATTTTTAAACGTTTTGCATTAGCAAAAATCAGCAAATTGCTGCACAAGAATTTGCGTATCTTGAAAGAGTCAAAGTGAGTTAATTATTTTCTTTATTTTTAAACAAAGGCAAAAAAGGCACAACTACTGCGATTCGTAATTGTGAGAACTTATAGTTGGTCTTGGACTTTGTTTGGCACTCGTTTAAATTTTGCACTTAATGTATTTGCAGCAATTACATAACAACAATTATCAACTATGGCGTTACCTGAGGGACTAGCTGGCAAAATGAAGACTTTCCAGGCATGTTATAAAATTATTATGATAAACTGAAAACATTGAAAATTTATTGAAGTTGTGCAAAAGTACGTGATAGGCGGAGTGAAGTACTTCTGATCCCATAAAGTACATATATTCTTGATCAACCAGTCGCGCCGATTTAGTCAAATCCGTCTGTCCGTCTGTATGAACAAGCGGATATCAGACCCTTAAAAGTTATAGACTTCAAATTTGTAATATGAACTCTCGTATATTGATTGATAAGTGCCTCCGTTTCGTGACGCAATTGTAAAGATGTAACTATACAACTGTAAAAATGTAAAAATTATCGTATTAATGTATAATGTATATAATATGTGGTTCAGGGTAACTAGTTCAACTTCAACTTGTTTGAATATTACAACTCTGATTTGAATGCTTTACTTGCAGGCTGTGAATGATCTGCCCGTGTTCCTCAAGGGTGGACCCGCTGATAAGGCTCTATTTGGCATAACTGCAGCACTGTGTGGTGTGGGCTTAGTGAGCATTGCGCACATGATCTACACAATGGGTTTCTCCAAGAAGAATGCCTAAGCAATGGCTTCCCGTTCACAGTAAACGGTTAATATATATATGACTTAATTAAAAGTGCAATAAATATCAATAAACATACCAATGCAATTATTTATTTGAATTTGGCGCCCACAAAGAACAGCAGCGACCGGTTGCAGTTGAGCGCAGTGTTGAGTAATGCGGCAATGCGACCACACTGTATGTTTCATAACAGCTGATTGATTGTCCCGTGCACGTAAACCTGTGAATGGTCAGACGCAACAAAGCAATTTTTGGGTTGGCGTTGAAAACAGTTAACAAAATATACAAAAATAAAATCACTTCAAATGGAGCCAAATGATGAAGTTGTGGAGCGCCAGAAGCTGGTGCCAAACGATGTTGAGACCGAGGAGGAAGCGAAATCAGCTCAAACACCTGCCACGCCCGTCGCCGTGCCAAAGATCAATGTAAATTGCCCCCAAAAAACCCCTTTCCACGTTATTGTGACAAAGATTTGTTTATGGTACAGATAAAAGGCATATCCAGCGGGGAAACGACGCGTAGCCGCAATTCGGCATCCTGTTCCATTGAACGCACCATATCCGAGAAGGGACAGGGCCAAGGACAGGGACAACAGCAGCAGCAGCAACAATCGGCCAAACCAACACTGCAATATGTGAACGAGCGACGACCACGCCCACATGCCCAGAACAACGCCTCCGCCGATGAACGTTTCGAGTTCAAAACACGTCCCCGCAAATTGCTCAAAGGTAAAGCGCAACGAGTTGAATATAATACGATGAGTTTTTTTTGTTTTTTACCACATTATAGTTGCTGTGAACGTTGCAAGCAGCTTGTCTCTATTTTTGTCGGCGACGCGACAGCCTTCATGAGTCAAACATGGCCGTGACGCACTTCTGGCCATATGTTGCCCACATTACACTTTCACACACTCACACACACACACATACACTTGCACAATTTCCAAGCAGTTATAATTTAAATAATTTAAATTATATTTACTATATTTGGCTTGTGTCTGCTGTTTTGGCCATTTATAAGTGGGCTAACATGGAACTTTAACTGCTGTCGCTTTCAGGCTTTCTTTTCACTTCTGATTTTAGATTACAACTCTTTTTTTGTGTAAACGTATTTTGTTCTATTTGTATAAGTTTTAAGTGCGTTTAATGTTGGTGGAAATATTGGAAATAATAGTAGAAATATTGATTATTACATTTTTTAAGTTTTAGGCCTAACTGTGAGAGATTTTATATATGTAAAAGCTTCTTGTTATGCTAACTTATTCTTAATTGTATTTAGTTATTATTCTTCATATTAATTGTTGTATTTTTGTGATCGGTAAAAGTCGTTTGTGGCGCGTTGCTTATTTTATTACTTTTAAATTCTTTATTATTGTTAGGCATCGATTGCTTTGAAATGTTTAATATTGGTAATTATTTGTCTCCAGATTAAGTCAGTTGTTATCGCTTCAAAAAGGTCACTTTTCTGATTGTTGTAGTATTTAAACTGACTTGTTTTTAGTTATTAATTTTGTATACCTGTTTACCAGCTTAGGTTTTTCAAAAAGTATCGTTTAAATAAGTAATGACAGACAGTTGCTTGTATATCTAGTTTATTTTTTGTATTTAAACTGACTTAGTTTTTAATTTTGTATACCCTACATATTGGTTTATGATTTTGTGTAACATCCTATTTTTTTTTTGTTGATTTTTATTTTTCATTTCATGATTTTGAATGAATTGTTGGGTGCAGATGGCAATCAAGTGGAGCCGACGCACAGCAGGGAGCACAGCTTGAATAGCATAACGCTGATAAGCAGCGAGTGGCTATCGCCAGAACCCAACAACACCAGCACAACCACAGCCAACAATAACAACAACAACAATAATGATAGCACAAAACCCAATCACAACAACAATAACAACAACAATATAAAGCCGCCGTTGCAGTTGCAAGCTGCAGATGCCGAGGCAACCGTTCACAGCAACGAATTCGACGATCGCCCAATTAAACATCATTCCTTTGTCTCCGAAGTGCCAGATGTGAAGCATATGGAACGTGCCCTGCTCGGTCTGCTCGATGACTTCCATTCCGGCAAGCTAAAGGCATTTGGTTTGTAGATTGGTATCCTTTATGTGTATGACATCATAAGCAACAATATATTTGTGTTGTGCAGGCTCTGGTTGCACCATGGATCAGATGACCAAGATACGGGAACAGCAGGAGAGTTTGGCTAAATTGCATTTCGAACTGGCTGCCGCCGAGGAAGATTCTTTGGAGCATGGCAACGAGTTCAATACGAACCGGGCCCAGGAGAATATGCTGCAACTGATGCAGCGCCTGGAACAATTGTCCATCTCCATTGAGCAATTGCAGACAAGTCACACGGGTCTCTGAGATTTGGCGATGATGCAGTCGACCACGTTAAATGATCGCCTGCTACTGCTGCTGCTCTGAGCCAAGATCAGCTCGAAGACGACAATGTTCGCCACAGAACTCATCTGTATATAAAACTAAGTTTTTACGTTTAACTTGTAAGGTTTTTTCGATAAGCTTCCAGTTTCAATACCGTGTTAAGTTAGTGTTGCAATCTTGGCTAGGCATGGTTACGTGCACATACCTCTATATATAATTATATATACATACATACCTATCCATATGTATGTATATATATATATATATATACTTTAGCATAGTGTAGTTGAATAGTTCACTCTTTGGACAGTGCCAATATCGGAGCACTTCAGTAACTACTCCCATAGCTTATTTGATTTTCCACTGACTAACTTGGAACTTTGAACTAACAACAATGTTTTATTAATTATTGTTTGTTATAGTTATTTGCAATATAAACTAATTAAAAAAGTTATAAATTTTATATAACGGAACTTGTAAAAAAACTGTGCATTATTTTTCTGATCTGATAACGATAATTAAAGAGAAATCGATAAGTGCAAGACGATTTTAAAGCTTTAAATGTTTATAGATTTGTGGTCAGCTCCTTCAAAGATAGATTCCTAGGCCATGCCAACACGTAAAAATCAAAATCTTCTACAGTTTTTAAAATAAACAAAATTTGCCGGATCTGCCCTTGAAAATAGTGAAAAACAGCAAAGTATTCCGCAGCCGGTCTCCCCCGACAACAACTCAGTTTCTATAGTATCTATACTTTTCGATTGGAAAATATATTGCAATACTTTGAATTAAGAATCTATGAAATCGAGCTACAAAAATCATGAAGATATTTGTTGATTTTCAGAAAATAGAATTTTCGTTATATTTTATAATTCATTATTTAGAACTTTCACTCTAATCTTTTAGAACTTTTCAGAATTAGAAATGCGTTTAAGGATGCTATTCAAGTCGCTTTGAATATAGAATTATCGAAAAATTGAAAAAGTTTGCTCTTAAGAAATCCTAATTCTAGAATATAGTATATATTATAGTGCCAATTACTTTATGTACCTTCGCAAAAAAAAAAGAAAAACAACGAATTCAGTTTACAGGAAATGATTGAATCTATTCCAAGATATCCCATATTCAAGTGCTGTCAGCATTTCGAATTATAATCAGACTAAAACCAACAACTTTTCGCAACTTTCCATATGCTGTGCGAGCACTGTATATATGTATATATGTAGAAGATCCTTGAGCTATGCTGCTATATAAATCTATCAATGCTTTGGCTCATCAGCTGGTTCCCTTCACCCCTTTGGTAATTCCGATGCCAAATGCCCATAAACAATAAGTTCATCCGGCTTGGCGGCCTTTCAGCAAAACAGAGACAAAAATGCCCATTTTAGATTCTTTGGCCACCGTTGAGTAGAATTCCGTTGTGCATGCACAATTTGTTGTTATTGTTATAATGATATGGGTATTGTTTATAGTTCTTCTTCTCGTTGTTGTTGCTGTTGTTGTCGTTGTTGTTGTTGCAACCTTTGGACAAGTGCATTCGTACATAGGAAATTTGTGTTTGTCGCTTAATTTGTGCATTTGTATTCAGTTGGTGTCCACTTCACTTGGACTTGTCATCATCATCATCATCATCATTACGGTCACCATCATCATCGACATCATTATCCCCATCTGTTGTTGCCTTTTGTTGTTCTTATTCTTCAACTTGTTGTATTTTTGTGATCGGTAAAAGTAATTTGTGGCGCGTTATTTTTTCTTTTTTTCTTTTTCTTTTTCATGTTCTGTTTAAATCCGGGTTTCAAGTGACAAGAAGCAGACACTGAGAGAAATTCGATGATCAAGTTTATGAAATGGTTTCCATCAATTTCGATAGTTATTAGTTAATATGCGCTTTGACTTTGATGTCCTTTTCAGGACTTCAGAATTCAATCATGATTTCAACAGTTTGTTCGGGTTGTGAAACTGCTTTTAATGTTTCAACTTGGAATACAAATAATTCCATCTTATGGATGGTATTCAGGCAGAGAACAAAATGTATTTGAAGTTGGGCAACAATATAACATATAACAATAAGTATGAAGCAAAAAACTACTGTTTAAAATCCCTTTTTATAAGTTAGTTAGTTACTCTTAAGTTTCCAAGAGTTCCAAAGAACTCTGGTTAGCTTCGTATTGCTTCATTTTTGTGCAGTGTATTTGTTCACTTGTTGTTATTGTTATTGTCGCCAGTCTTTCCCTTTGCGTGCTGCGGTCAGAAAACTCTGTTTCTGTTTCTGCTTCGGCTTCGGCTTCAGCTACGGTTTCAGTTTGGACATCAAACTTCAACTTCGCCTTTGGGGTTTTTGGGATTGGGGGATTCGGGATTGGAGTTAGCGGTTTGGTGCATTCCAACCTTGTGTCGAACATCATTTGCGTCAAATGAAGAAATAAACGCTTTGACCGGCGCATCCGCCATGCTGCATACAAATGCAAGCAGCCGTTTACCTGTTGAGACACTCCACACACTGAGAGAAATTATGGACTAGATAATGCGCACACGCGCAGTACAAATCTTGTCGAAAGCCAGATATGTTGTATAAACTTGAACAAGATACTAAAATTCTTTTCACAAATGGGATTTTGTAATATTGAAATTTTTAAATATAAGTCGGCTTTGGGTTAGTTAATTGGACGACTTTTTTTCATATTGTAGATGGTGGAAGTTTTTGAAATATTTGCCAGATTTGTATTCTGTGCACTAAGAATTTTTGTTGGTGCAAATATATTTTTTTTATTAGCAAATTATATTCAAAATTTGATCATTTAATATGCTCTTTCGCAGAAGAAAGTGTTGGCAGCCAAAATGAGATCATTTGATATGTCAGTTGGTTCATTACAATCTGCAGATTGCGAAAAACGTACGATATTCAATTGGATTAGTAACTGGACTCTGTTGCCATTACTTTTCTCCGCTTTCCCCACTTCGGTTTTGATCAACTTTTCTTTTTACTTGATTTTTCCATTGTTAACCCATTAGCGATTCCTTTAAACTTATTGAGGAACGATTTATAGTTTTCTTAGAGTGTATATATGTATGTGTGTGTGTGTGTGTGTGTGTGCATTTATTCCACACCCACACCGGTGGCACTTCCATTTGTCCGGCGTTCCATCACGCGCCTGATTTTACACTGGGAGCACTGTCGAAAAGGGTCGCCACAAACGGGAATGAGGGAATTTCCGAGGCGGTGCCAAGCCCTAGAAAAACCAACAACAACAACAACAAAAACAACAACAATACGAAGTGAACGCTGGGTGCAACAACAGCTCAACTTGAAACAGGGATCGGCTGCAGTTGCACTTGGAGTTGGAGTAGCAAAGGGGCTTAGAGAATTGGTGGCGATATGGAGGAGGGGCAAGTTGTGTGTCGCCAGTTCATCGAATCGAGTGTTATGTAAAATGAAGAGAAGTCATTAATATGTGACCCGCATATCAAATTTCGTTTGAAGCGAAACGAATTGAACCTTTTTGGTCTCTTTGGTCACATGAGAATTTGATGAACTGCCAACTGACAATGTGTCGTTGATACCTGTCTGTAAGGCCCCCCCTCCCTGTCCCTGCCACAACTGTTGAGCGGATCACTTGTTGCCATCAGCCATGTTAAACATTGGCCATTTGGTCATTGGCCATTGGCCATTCGGCCATTTGATATGCCGTCAGCCACTTGATGTTTATGAACTCTCTGCCTCGAGAGGTCATTTAAACGGCAAAGGCCAAAAATCAACTGCAGTCTGTGTCTCACATACTTAGTTGCTAAGAGACTCACCTCTCTCTTTCTCTCTCTCTCTCTCTGCTTCTCTGTTTCGATCTCAGCATGGGTCCCACGAGACCCATAATCCTTTTAATACCCTCTAGCATTTTATTTACGGCATAAATTTGTGTTGCATATTTATTGAGGATGAAATCCTGATCAAAGAAATTAAACAAAAAAATCATATCAATAATATACCCAGATTTATTGATCTATTATATATTATATGATTTCTTTCATTCTACATTTCTTACTTTAATTCGTTAATTTGATTTTAAATTTTTCAAAAATATATTTTAAGAACTTTTAACTCTTTTTCACACTATACAAAATAATAATTAAAGATATCTTTGTCAAAATTAAAGCATTTTTTATGACCAAGTTGATCTCTAGATTAATTCTACATTTCAAATCATTACACAGAGATTTCCAAATTATTTGTCAATAGCAAATAAAGATTTTTATAGGCCACAAATAATGAACCAAATCAGCTCAAGCAAAAAAAAAATTGACTTAGACAAAGTTATCTGAGCTTAAACAATTCCCAGCTGATTACAGGGTATTAGCTAGTCACACACGAGTAAAATAGAACACGCTCGTCTCGTTTTTTTGTAGCAGGCAGTGAACCAGCCCAACTAACCCGACCAACCGTCAGCCAACCACCCACAAGTGCACGCAGACACAAAGAGTCGCCCAGAGCAGAGCGAGGAGAGAGGCTGTCAGCGGAAATTACGTTGCTGATGACAGAGCAAAAGCGGAAGAGCACGCAGAGCTCTCGCTGGGACCAGGACAGCCACACACAATAGCAGGGCGGGGTGGCGGGGTGGCGGAGCGGACATGCCACCCAATCCGTCCCAGCCTCCCCTGCGGCGCACCCACTACTTCTCGACCGTTACAGGAAGTGCGACAAAATTCAAAACGTACTCTGCAGTCGAGCATCCTGCTGCGGAAGCCCGGAAAAGCAAAGGGGGTGAATGCCAAAGGCGGAAGGAGGGTGGAGGGTGTGGGGGGGAAGTGAGGTGCTGCTGCTGACTGACTGACAGTCGGACTGGCAACTGGGCTGGCATAAATGTGCACACGGCAAAAGTTGCGAATGCCCCGCTGCTGCTGCTGTTGCTGCTGCGCCTAAAAGAGGAAGTGTGTCGGGCAGTCGGGTGGCTGGTGAACTCCCACGTAGAGATGGGCTTGTGTCGTGTTTTTCAATCGTAATGAGAGATTTTCCATTCAGCACAATAACATTGCTTAAATGAAAATCAGGTCACATAAGAGTGATCCCATAATCTTCTGGTTAGGTTGGTGGATAGGTTCAAAAGGTTCCTCTTTGCTAAAAAAATTAGGCAAGTCAAAACTCGTTCTTGTTTAAGGAAAATTTCTCAAAAATATTCAAGTTTTCTTGCCTCAATTTGTGGGTCATGTTCTGTTGCACACGAATCCTGGCCACGCACCCATCTCAAAGGGCCTGCGCCATGTTATCCCCCAGAGAGATAACGAGTGAGAGGCGGACGGAGGGTGGAGGGTGGATGGGCGCGCACACACAAAACCGTTGTTGGCGAGGCGAGGGCGACGTACTTTATTTCCTGTAAATGTCCTCGAAAATATGAACATTATATCCCGGAAACGGAAGCAGCAGCAGCATTTGCAAGGAAGCGTCAGCCAGGCAGGCCGAACTGAACTGAACTGAACCAAACTGAGCG